TTTTCTTCATTTGCAATTTTTTTTCTCAAATTGCTTGTGTTTTCTTGGAGCACAGTGTGTTCCGCTTTCTCTGCCACTGTCGACACCATCTGAATAATGAACATGCAGCATTGTGGTGTTGACTTTCAGAGCGGAAACTACAGTCTCATGAGTTCTTGCGGTGGCAGCATCACTTTGCAGAGATGGAAGCAGGTTGAGCCTGTTGTGTCTGCAGTGTAAACCAGACCACTGGGAGAATCAACACTGACATCTAATGTGCGGCTGTTGAAGAAAGATGTACAGCTGGAGGCCAACGCAGAGAGAGACTGATGAGTGAGATACTGAGGGAGATAAAGAGAGAGCGAGAGAGAGGGAGAGATTGATGAAGGGGGTGTGTGGGGCTGCGGGGTGAGCTGCAGCAGGCGGTGTCGTGGTTAAACTGGTCGTCCAGCATCACAATTAAGCTCTGTTCAGGACAGAATACTGATGAGGACACTTGGACCCCCCCCCATTCTCCTCCTCTTCTACTGCACTCCTTCCTCTACTCCCTTCTGCCACCATCCTTTTACTCTTTACATTTATTACATCCTTCATTTGCTCTCATTTCTTCTTCTTTTCCACATTTTTGTGCTCCTTCCCATTCTGCATATCACCTTTTTTCCCCCTCTTTTCTTCCTGTACTCCCTTCCTTTCTTATCCCTTCCACCTCACTCTTCCTCCTTTCTTCCTCTAACCTTCCATCCCTCCTTCCTTAGTCCCTTACACTGCCTCTCTTCCTCCTCCTCATCCTCCCTCCATCTTTACATACTGTATTGGTCTTATCCCTTCCCTCATCTTCCTCTCTCCTTCTCCCTCTCTCTGCGGTCCTACAGTCGTTGATTAAATGTGAGCTTGGCGGTTGGTTGAGGATCAGTTCTGTCTGTGCGATGTGCAGGCGACAAGGCGAGGACGAGGCAGTCTATTAACAAGGATCCCGTGGTTAACGAGCCATTTTTAAAGCTCTTATAAAAAAAGCTCCAGTAGCCTGCCACCATAAATTGATGAGAAATTCAGCCTCTGCTAGCATGTGTGTGTGTCTGTGTGTGACTTTTGATGACCTTGTCTCAACTTATCAACTCCTAACCGTCACACTACAAATCTATGTTAGACTGTATGTCTCCAGTCTTGTTAACATATTTCTACAGAGCTCTAGATGTTTTTGAAAATCTCTGTCCAGATACTGTTGGCCTGCATGTCTCTGTAGAACTCCAGATGTATCTATGTATGCCTACACAATTCCAAATGTGTTTAAATCTACACAACGCTTCAAATGTAGTGGTGTATTTTTACAGCACTCCAGATGTGTTTTTAAATCTCTTTATGACTCTTAATGTGTTTACATATCTTTGCAGAACTCCATATGTGCCTATGTATCTCTAAAGAACTCCAGATGTGACTGTGTATTTCTATAGAACCTCAAATGTGTTTACATATTTATGTTGACCCCCACAAGTGTTTACACATTTCTATGAATGTCCAGCCATGTCTATACATCTCTATAAACTGCAGTTCCTCTAATGACCACTAGAGTCTGGCTCCAACAGGGAGTCAATCCCCATAGACTCCCATGTTAAAATGTCCAACTTTACAGCAGAAATAAACATGTTTACAGCCTGGTACAAAACAGTTTTGGTCTCTAGAGCTAATTTCCTCCTTCAGGACAACTGTTTATAAAACTCATCAATTTACATTTTATTAAGGTTTAAAGTTATGTATAATTGAGGGCGTGGCATCTTTGAGGGACAGGTGGCTGAGTGTATGCTCGCCACAAACCAGCATGCACCGAAGTTTCCACACATGCCCCTCCCCTTTGACCTTTTTGGATTAGCTAGGAGCCAGGAGCAGAGTCAGACACTAGCAAGATGGCATGTTGGAGCAGCTCACTCTGAGCTTCAGAACCCTTGTGGGTGTCAATCTTTATATACAGTCTATGGTTGAAACATCTGGAACATCTATCTATGTCCATTAACTACCACCAGTCTTGATAACTTTACACAGCCACAGGTTTACTTACCACACCACACATATTTGGCCCAATGGTTTCTCTATGGATCTTTAAAGAACTCTTAGGTTGATTCCAAAAAGAACCATGAGTGATCTGGCAGAACGTTTATCAAGCTGTTGTCTGGTCTGTGAATATGGAACTTACTTTCTTTCTTTCTTAATCCTAAGTCTCTCCTTCTGTCTCCTCCTCTCCATCATCACACCCTCTTTCGCTGCTCTTCTCTGTCCCTCTTGTCTTTTTCTGCTTCCCTCTTCCTTCCATGAGCTTTTATTAAAGTCCATCAAATGTCCCTCTTACTCTCTTTGCCCCCCTCTCCCAGTCTCCCTTTCCCACACAGCTAGTTCCATATCCCACCTTCATCTCCCCTCTGTTGCTCTTCTTCCTCATCTCGCCTTCCTCTCTTACAGGAATCTCCATCAAAGACAACAAGCATCAGTTATAAATAGTCTTTGATAGTTTCTCCATGAAAACATCCTGTAATGAAGGTTTAAAAAACTGTGGTGAGCTGAGTGGCCTCTGCTGCTGGTTTTTCCTGTCACTATCATCCGATGATGAGGGTTGAAAAATCTCAGAAATGTGGCATTTTTATGAGAGTAATAAAGGATTTATGTCAGCTGCAGGCTGCTGGGTGAGCAGCAGAGGGTCGGCTGTTTAATTCATAAGATGAAACTTGGCTGAGAGTTGGATGTGTTTCATTTATCTCACTTCTACAGCTCATAGTCTGCAGGAAGAGCTAATGAGTCACACAAACACACACACACACACACACACAAACACACTATGCGGGCTGAGGACAAGATGCACGTACTTGTGATTATTTACTATAAGTCCAGTGTGTGTGTGTGTGTGTGTGTGTGTGTGTGTGTGTGTGTGTGTGTGTGTGTGTATGTGTGTGTGTGTGTGTGTGTGTACGTGTGTGTGATTTCTACAACTCAGCCATGCAGATGCACGTTCGTGTGTGACTCCGAACACACAGGCGTGTGTGTATGTACGCTTGTGCGTGCATCCTGTGACTGTACATGCAAATACACGTTCACATGTGTCTCTGAATGGCCAGGCGTCATCTAAACTCTCCAACCAAGAAAAACCAAGAAAACCAGCTGTTTATCTAAACGTAGATCACACCATCAGCCTAGTATGATTCATTATTATTGTTTTATCTGTTTTTGTCCATTATAAAACTTTATTTTTATTTTTTTCTGTGTGTATGATTTTCCATCAGTTACTTATTAATAATATAAAGATTTGGTGAAACATGATTATCGGACAAACACTATTTTAGCAATAGTTTTAATGTATCTCACCTTGTAAATTGTCATGGGTGCCTCGGTGGCTCACCCAGTGCATATCACTTCAGTCATTACTGCAGTGGCCTGGTTCAAATCCAGCCAGGGCCCTATGCTGCATGTCATTCACTCTCTCTCCCCCAACTTTCATGTCACTGTCTCACAATCACTATGACATTAAAGCCGAAACCTGCCCAAAAAATAACTTGGAAAAAATAAAAGGAATGACAAAAACAGATAAAACTTGATGGTTAGATTTAAGAATCACACGTACGCACATATGTGTGTGTGTGTACTGTTTAAGCTACTTCTTCTTCTGCTGTTAATGCGCCCCATATTGCTACTGCTACTGCTACCCAACAATATATGTTGAAAAAAGCTACTACATCGACTGACACTGCTAATACTGCTAATACTACTACTGTTACTTTTAGTGCTCCAAGGTGTTCCAGTATTCTAGTGCTTCTGCTTTTCCACCTGCTTCTTCTTCTACTAATATTAATACTACAGCTACCCCTACCACTAATACTGTTTCTTAAAGTACCATGGATAATCCTGCTTCCAGTATCAGTATAGCTGATATTGCTGCTGCTGATACTGATATCACTACTGTCACTACTAATATTAATACTATGGCCACATAACCATCATACACACAGCAGTCACAGCAGTCACAGCACACTGGAAAAAAGGCCACTCCAAAAATAAGCAAAAAAAAATAAATATAAGATATTTTTTGCTTGTAATAAGCAAAAAAAATCTGCCAATGGAACAAGTGAAAATTCTCTTGGTAAGATTTCTTGAAATAAGACATTATATTTAATCCTTACAGGATAAGAGTGATCTTGAAATTAGCTGGGAAAACTCACTTTTAGCTATATTTTACTAGTATTCTGATGTTTTGTGTCTCATAATAAGCTTGTGATGTGCAAAAATAGTATTTTCCCCTCAAAAGTTTTTGTCATCCTGTTTGTTTCAAGTGTATTTAACTAATTTTTAGTTCTATAATTGTGACACTGTTCTAGATATAAGTCCACCACCTACTTGAAATAAGATTAGAAACTGGCATTTTGAGACAAAATGTCTTGAAGTTAGCATTCCTGACTCGTATTAGGCAGTGCTCTTTTGCCATAATAAGCCATAATTTACCATCCTGTCATCATCTCAAGTGCATTTACCTTATTGTAAACTCTACAAAAGTAATACTGTTCTAGATTCAAGACATTCACCTCCTAGATTCAAGACATTAACTACTTCTTATAAGACAGAAAAATTTCTTGAAACAAGGCGATTCATCTTATGACACAGCAGCTTAAAAACCTTATGACATGTAAGAAAAGCTTGTTTCATCAGAGATATGACTCAAAACAAGATGTTTTCAAGACTGGTTCACTTAACAAGATATTCAAGATGCACTGTCTAAAAACAAGCTCCTTTATCTCACTTAAATCTTACTCTTTAGGTGATTTTGTCTTATATTAAGTGTGATGAGACATTTTGACTAGAAATTAGAAAAATATACTTGGTAAGATTTTGAATTTTTGCAGTGCAGTTTTATTCTGACACAACCATCGTGTTCTGGACTGATATGGAACATGTTATCATATCTCCTTCATATCACACTGTTGTATGTGAACACATCAACTCTGTACTTACTGTGATTATAATCAGTGACTTGTTTGTGATCCTACCTGTCAGAGATCGAGTGACTGCACTCTCATACAGAGGAACTCCCTCTCCAGCATTATTAAACGCCTTCAGGGAAATCACATAGTGCGAGCTTGGCTCTGAGAGAGAGAGAGACGGAGAGACAGAGAGAGAAATTTTAAATCATATTTAGCAATCACAACATATATTATCATCTGAAGATGTAACTTTTTCCACTCAGTGAAATGGTGAAAGTTGTTTCCTGCGGGTGTTAAGGATGAGACTTCCTTCCCTCCTTCAGTCCTGGCCTGACTTTGTCACATATGTAGACAACAGATGGATGTGAAGACATGATGACTGGAGACATATGAACACTGTCATGCAGCGGTTTGTCCTTCCACCGCTCTTCACTCTTGATGTGATGATGCTGCGTGTTCTCTCCTTGTGGCGTCAAATGCTCACATCAGTTAAAGAAACACGTCTGCTCCCCTCCCCAGACGCCTCGCCACATGAATTAATGATCACTATGAATTATAAATGCCATGTACATATGTGCGCTCGCTCCCAAGTGTGCATGCAACATGATGGGTGGATTTTATTTTTTCATTACTCCTCTATTATGAGACCTGAGACAGGAATTTTCATCTGCGTATAAATATTCACCCAATTTGTTATTGTCTTTTTTGCCATGCAAATTGCTTGTTGTGGTCACTGGAGAGGATGTTTCCTTTTTTTCCACCTCTCTCAATCAGATTTCCACCTCAAGCAGCTTTCTCATTAAATTCCTTCAAATTATTGATTGTAATTGAATGGAGATTTCATCAACATAATGAATTAATGAAAAAGTTGAATGCAGTGTCAATATTGGCACTTTGTTGGCAGGAGCATGTTAAGTTTTTTTTGGACTCAATAAATAAAATGATTCACTATTTTTCCACCAGTATTTAATTATTGTCAGTGTGAAGAGGGCTTTGAAAGAGAACTTAAAGTTCATGTTTATTTACAAGTCCATAATTCCCCATAAAAATGTGAACTATGGAATCTGGGTGTAACCTAGCAAGCTACTAATACTGCACAACCACTTAATTATTTACTTTTATATTCCATATAATCTATTCTTATTTATTTTAGATTCTGTTTTGTATTCTTATTTCATTTCTAAGCACATTTCCCCTTGTTGCTGTTATTCTTTTGTGCTGCTGTGTCACAGTTGCATTTCCTCTACGAGGGATCAATAAAGGTTAATCTTATTTTATCTCACTTTAGCTATCACAACTGCAGCAGATCTTTTTTTCCAGGCCTTTTGCCTTTATTATTTATACAGTGAGAGGATGACAGGAAAGTTGGGGGGAGAGAGAGGAGATACAGCAAAGGGCCTTGGCCCGGATTCGAACCCGGGCCACTGCGGTAAGGACTGAGCCTAAATGGTTCTCGCTCTACGATGTGCCCCTGCAGCAGATCTAGTAACCACTTTAAGGTAAATTTAACTCTTCTTTTTTTATCTTTCACACTGAGATACACATGTCTCTGTAATGCGTTCATGGAAATTATTTTTGTCTTAACAGTAATGCAACATAAAATGTATATGTTTCTTTTAATGGAACTAGCCAGTAGTTTCCCCTTTGTTCTAAACTAGGCTAACCACCTCTTGGACCTGTCTCTTTATTGGAGGGACAGAGATCGAACTGCTACTAGTCTTCTTATTGACCCCCCACCCCTTCCCCACTCCATCCTCACCAAGGTTTTCGATGGAGTAGTATCTCTGCTTGCTGTCCACCCTGACCGTCTCAGCGTAAGGACTTCCCACTCCATAGCCAATGATGTAACCACGGACCAGGATGTTGGGACTGAGGGGGGGAGTCCAGGACATGATGATGCTGTTGGGCAGCGGCCTGACGTGCAGAGAGCTGGGCTGGTCCGGGACCTGACTCTCTGCAAAAACATTAACATAGAACATTATACTAAAGAAGAATATTACATGGGGTTGTAGTTCTTAGGACTCTTCAGTATTTCTGTAGTCCTGGCTACGTGCCTGGCCTCCACCACCAGCAGTTTTAAAGCTACCCTGATTTGCAGCTGCAGTAACAGGTACTTAGAGCAGCCTTAGCTAACAGATGCTAACCCTGTTAGATGTGTATTAATCCCTAATAAAGCCTGACACTTTGTGTTATTCCTCAGCATCAGATTAGATCAGATTAGATCAGATTAGCGGACTCTTGGTCTTCAGGGGGGAGACGCTCAATCTCACTTTATTGAGTGATAATCCATTGAAATTAGATTTCCGTCTCCCTCTGTCCCGGCCTGGAAATACAGTTAGCATGGATGTGTTTGCGTGTTTTTTTTTGTTTGTTTGTTTTTTTTTTTATCTCAGCACCTTACTGCTGATCAGAATGTCCTCCTCTGAGCTGCAGCCTGACATCATCTTTTCTCATCATTCTGCTAGAAATTAGGTTTGTTGGCTTTCTTGTTTCTTGTATATTTTTAGAATATGTCATTTACAGCAGCTGATGGTTGTTCTAGCAGGAAAGTCAAGGAGTTTTCATAGAATTTCTAAATGAAAACCTAAAAAACATATTCTCCAAATGTTTTTAATCAAACTATAATGAGGTTTGAAGCACACGCAAGGAGATTTTTAAATATTTATGAATGTACAGTAATTCTCAACAATTACAACTTCTGTAAAGACATATTCTATTCATATTTAATAAATGATCCTTCATTATCTGTTTATACCCTAGCCTCCATTAATGGGTGTCCTGTAGCTGTTGACAAATATATTATAATATCATAATATATTTGTCCAGCTATTTATTCCGCCTTCATGTTGTGCTTTATATGTCACAACAACTTTGTCCAGGAGTGTGTTGGACTGTAGGCAGAACAGCTTGAAGCAGAATTAAAGTATAACTCCATCTGAAGACTAAAACAAAGACAGGAAACCCCAAAGTATCTTTGCACCAGCATTTCTCCTATCGGAAAGGAATTTCATCTTTTAAGGGTATAAAAAACACTCTAAAGTTTTACTGTTTGTACCATTGATCTGCAACCAATAGTGATATGCAACAGTTATCTATCTACTGTACCCAATGATCTTATAATCCATTTCATTCCATTTACATTTTATACTGCTTAGAAATGATCATAAAGTACAGAGTTACCCTCTGCTTTAAATATCTCTTATCTGTTGTCTTTTTGATGAAATTGGAAATGCAACTTCTAATTTCTCTGCATGAAAATATCTTTTCTACTACTTTATTTTCATTTCCTCTCTCTTCCCCCTTCCCTTCCTCCTTCCAGCCTTCCTTTCTCATTGCTCCTCCCCCCAGAGGCGAATCTTCCCTCAATCCATCCATCTCAGCCCTTAACTGATTAAATATTTATGTGCTTGTTGGGACACTGGAGGTATTTACATGCTGTTGTACAGATTACTGATGTTACCACACACACAGACACACACACACTCTCTCTCTCTGTTCTTACCATCCAAGTCATTCTCCGGCGTCTCAGCAGTGTACCAGTCACTGGCCGGACCTGTACCATTGGCCGTCATGGCTGCAACCTGGAAACTATATTGACTGCCCTTCTCCAGACCTGGAAGAGAGAGAGAGAGAGCATGACAGAGAGGTCATGTCTCCACAACTACCTGAATCGTTTGTAAACTCTACAGGTGTTCACCTCCACTGTCATAGATGTTTTTTCTGTTTCAAATAAACAAATAAATTTCCGTTTCACTATTTATTTAACAGTGACCACATAGTAGATGAACACAGAAATGCTGGAGTGTCCTGGACCAGTGATGGTGCAGTGTTATGTGATGGTCAGGTAGAAATGTTTTCTTCATCTGTAATGATGAAGCATTCTTCTTTGCTAAATTTCTGATTCATTCTTCTGCCTGGCTTCTCTTGAATAGTAACAGCAGTTGAGACTCATGGGTATCGAACATAGCATCAACAACATACAACAAATGCAAAACATTCATCTTAAAAGGTTTGAAGAAACGCTTCATTCATTTGGTTTTGATTATATTTTTAAGTAATAAATACATTTTTAAACAGGCCTTTGTTATGTCTTTAAATATAGGATGCTACTGTTACTTGCCCTTTACCAAATTAAATTTAACTTTAAAGACATTTAATAACTTTTTAAGGTCCTGACATACAAAGTTTAGGACTTGGACTTGGTTTGGGTTAATTCAGGAACCAGAGGCTCCTACTTTTATGTTTCTGATCAATGGGCACAGTGTTGGATCTTTTGATCAAACTGTTATTTTGTGGGGCGTGGTTATGGCGCTGAACTCAGCACACGTCTTTTTGTGAGCTCCTGGCAATACTATAGTAAAATCCTGTAAACTTTCCTTTAACTGCATAAACAGTGATAACATTCATTCGCGGTGACTTAATATTGCATACCCGCGACAATATGCCGAGGAAGAACAAATCTAAAGCACACTTTTCTCAGAGTGAAGAAGACGACGTCTCAGATGCTATCAGCCTAGCTAACTCAGAGTGTGATGCTAGCCCCGTGCCTCGTGTGAACGACGTGGACACTGGATTGGCCCAAAACATGGACGTCATTCAGATACTCGATGGGATCAGAAATGACTTTTCCACAAAGACTGATGTGGTCCTGAAAGTGATTCAAGACGTTAAGAGGGACGTGCAGGACTATCTCGGCGCGCATGGATGAAGCAGAAGTGCGCATTAGCACCGTAGAAGACACAGTTAACTCAGAGAAAGGCAAGGCTGATGCGCTAGCTAAACAAGTGACTCTCCTCACAAATAAACTTGACGAGCTCGAAAACCGCTCTCGTCGTTCCAACCTACGCATAGTTAACGTGCCTGAGAAGATGGAAGGAAATGATGCGGTAGCTTTCCTGGAGAGGTGGCTCCCTGAAGTGCTGGGACCAGCAGCATTCCCGAGTCCACCTCTCATTGAAAGAGCACACAGGTTGCCCGGCCGGACGCAACCTAATCGATCAACCACACCGAGAGTCATCATTGTGAAGTTTTTAAACTTCCAGGATAAAGTCCGAGTGATGCGAGCTTCTAGGGCCAAAGGCAAAGTTATCTGCGCCGGTCAAGAGATTATGTTCTTCCCGGATCTTTCGACGGAGCTCCACCGTCGCAGGAGGGGGTTTGACCGGGTAAAACAACAGCTGAGATCGATGAACATTTGGTACGGAATAATTTACCCAGCCAAGCTACGAGTGTCGTCTGATGGACAAACACGTGAGTTTGAAACCCCAGCAGAAGCTGAAAAATTCATTCAAGGGTTACAGAACACAGAGGACTCACAGATTAACTAAAATGAACTGCTGAATCCTTTATTATCTACCTATAACAGCTATAGTTTGATATTGCTGGCTTTATGGGCCTGTAACACACATGTGAAATGGTTATGCCTTTTCTTTTCTTTTTTCTGCGGAGACTTTTCTGTTTTGTTTACATCATTTAGTTATTCCTTCAATCTCCTCAGATGTAAATACACGTTTCATTTACTCTTTATACAGAATCTTCAATTTTTTTTTTTTCACATCATGTGGTATTTTACTGGTACACTTCCAAAATGTCACATAGAGACACTCATCAGGTTTACCAACAACTAAAAGAGGATGCTATGCTGCATAACCTGGTGTATTATTAAGATTAGATGACTGCAAATAAGAATTTTAAATTCACTCCATGGAATGTTAGAGGGATGGTAAAGTTGACTAAATTAAAGCAGGTGATTACCAGGCTTAAACAACTTAAGTCATCAGTAGTCTTTATCCAGGAGACTCATTTACTCAGAGAGGACTTGATGAAAGTACGTAGGAGATGGCCAGGCAAAGTAGTAGCATCCTGTTTCCCTTCTCATTCAAGAGGGGTTATGGTGTTAATTCATAATTCGGTGCCTTTTCAAATAAACAATACTATTTATGATAAAACTTGTAGATTTTTGGTTGTTCAAGGAACTCTCTTGAGAGAAAATATTAATTTGGTTAATATATATGGCCCCAATGATGATAACCCATCATTTTTTGAGAATTTATTTTTTGTTGTTAGCCACCCTCCCTGGTAAGATAATATTGGCAGGTGACTTAAATTGCGCTTTAGACCCGAAACTAGATCGCTCAGCAGGGATAGATACATCCCATTCCCAAACAAGAAAGAAAATTCAACAATATATGAAAGACCTGAACCTCTGTGATCCTTGGAGGACTCAAAACCCCAACAAAAGGGAATTCTCATGCTACTCGACAGTATTTAAAACCCACTCCCGAATAGATTATTTTTTAATTTCCTCATCTCTGCTAACTAGTATAACTAATTGTGTACATGATAGCATGTTTTATCTGATCATGCCCCAACCTCACTATTTTACAACGTCGAACAAGTGTATAGACATTCGACCAATTGGCGATTACATCCTAAATGGCTACAGGATTCTGGCTTTATAAAATTTGTAGGAGAACATATTGATCTCTACTTCTCTATAAATACGAATCAAACAACTGCAGCCATTAGATGGGAAGCTTTTAAAGCATATATTAGAGGACAAATGATAAGCTTCACCAGCTCTAAATTTAACAAATTCAAACAGACGATGAATGAATTAGACTCTAAAATTAGAGAAGTAGAGAGAGAGGATAGCATAGATGATTCGACACAAAAAAAACAGGAATTACTGACCCTTAAAGCAAAATATGAGGAGCTCTCCATGCTTAAGGCTGAGGATGGTATAATAAGACTGAAACAAACTTTTTATGATCAGGGTGAAAAACCGGGTAAACTGCTAGCTTGGCAGATAAAGAAACTTGAATCTGACAGAGCCATCAATATCATTAGGAATGAGCAAGGAGAATTAACTACAGATCCCACAGAAATTAATGACACCTATGTCTCATATTATAAAACCCTTTATAATTCTGACAGCCCTCAAGACGTGGTAAACCAAAACAATTTCCTGGATGGATTGGTCATTCCCTGTATTTCTGAGGGTACAAAAACTGAACTGGAGAGGGAATTAAATTTGAATGACATCTCTAACGCCATTACAAACATGAGAGGAGGTAAAGCTTCGGGTCCAGATGGACTTCCGATAGATATTTACAAATTATTTAAAACAAAATTAATAGCCCCATTATTAGATGTTTATTTGGAATCCTTTAAAACAGGTTGCCTCCCCGTTTTGTTACGTAGTGCTCTGATCACTCTTATTCTAAAACCAGGCAAAGTGTCAACCCAGCGCGGTTCTTATAGACCCATATCACTTTTAAATTCAGATGCAAAGATTATAGCTAAGGTTCTAGCCATGAGTCTTGAGAAAGTTCTACCAGCCATTATACATGGAGACCAGAATGGTTTTGTGCAAAAGCGTCAGGGGTTCCACAATGTGAGGAGAGTTCTTAACATAATTCACGAGTGTGAAGAGTCCCCTGACACTGCAATATTATCACTCGACGCCGAAAAGGCGTTCGACCGAGTCGAATGGCCCTATCTACTCGAGGTGCTTAGTCGGTTTGGATTTGGTGACTACTTTCGTAGATGGGTCGAAATTTTATTTGTTGATTCTTCTGCAGTGGTATCTACTAATGGTCTCATCTCTCAGCCTTTTGAGTTATTTCAAGGCACAAGGCAAGGGTCACCAATTTCACCTCTTCTTTTTGTAATAGCCATGGAACCATTAGCAATAGCGATCAGATCACACCCCTTAATTCATGGTATTAAGATTGGGGACTTAGAACACAATACGGCAATGTACGCTGATGATACTATTGTGTTCTTATCACAACTTGCAGAATCGATACCATCTCTGTTAGAGTTGTTTAATCAATTTGGGAGTATCTCTGGGTTTAAAGTGAACAAAGAAAAGTCATCTATTATGTTTTTAAATGGAAATGAGAGGAAGAAACCTTTAGTATCTCATCCATTTGTGAATGCCTCAGAGGGATTTAAGTACTTGGGCATCAAAATAACCCCAAAGATAAGTAATCTTAGTTCAGCCAATTATGAGCCCATGGTACTTGATGTGACAGAAGAGATCACGAGATGGACAACACTACCTCTGTCTATATTGGGAAGAATAAGCATAGTAAAGATGACTATACTACCTAAATTTTTATTTATCTTTCAATCAATTCCACTAGCCCCTCCTCCTCCTTTTTTTCCCAAGACCAGAAAGCTTCTTTCCAATTTCATCTGGAACAATAGGAAGCCAAGACTCAGACTCTCCCTCTTATATCTACCTTATGATAGGGGGGGGCTACAGCTGCCAAATCTAGAATGGTATTATTGGGCTGCTCAGTTGAGGGCCACAATGTTTTGGTTTTCTAAAGATGTTTTCATGCCCTGGTTAGAAATGGAAAAACGGTCCTCAAAAGGTTTGTCATTGAATAGTTATCTATACTCAGCATCTTTTAAAACGTTAAAGAAAGATACTACTAATCCTTTTGTAAAAAACACTATTATTGTTTGGCATGTAGTACAAAAATTGTTGTGTGACTCTCCAAGGCTGTCCTGTTTCGCCCCGATCTGGGGTAATGATCACTTCGCCCCGGCAAAGAACGACATGGGTTTTAAAACATGGCTGAACAAGGGCATAGTAGAAATGCAGGATGTATATAAGGATTATACTCTAATGTCATTCAGTGAGCTAAAGGCAAAGTTTGATATACCGCAGAAACACTTCTTTAAATATTTACAACTTCGAAGTTTTATTCTGGCACACTTAAACAACTCAGTGCAACAACCTCCATTATCCACCTTAGAAACACATGTCACAAAAAACTGTTTTGGGAAAAGGCTGGTCTCCCGGTTTTATAATATGCTGGTTGAAAACCATAAGGAAAACTCAGATAGTAAGAGACGGGAGTGGATACGTGACTTACAAGAAGACATTTCACTCAGTGAATGGAGTAAAATATGTTTAAAAACACATACTCAAACCATCAACACTCGATTGAGAATGATACAATTTAATTGGATAATGCAAACATATATTTCCCCTGTACAATTAAATAAATTTGATTCTAATGTACTTGATCTATGTTATAAGTGTAACAATCACCAGGGTACATTATTTCACTGTTTATGGAAATGTGAAGAGATTCAAAAATTTTGGAGCTCAGTGTTAAAGTATATCTCTCAAATCACAACTTCCCCTGTACCTCTATGCCCTAAGTTATGTATTTTAGGTATTTATCCAGAGGACTGTTCTTTATCTTGCAAAGAAAGAAAAATGGTTGATCTTTGTTTACTGCAGGCCAAACACTGTATTGCATTATGTTGGAAGAATGTTGGTTGCCCCTCTTTTAATCACTGGTTGAATAACTTAACATCGAGTTTGGCTCTCAAGAAGCTGACCTATATTATTAGAAAGAGGGCTTCTGAATTTTATGACGTTTGGAAGATATTTCTGGAACTGTTGAAAGGTGGAGATATGGAGGAGGCAGTGGGAGAATGAGATAATAAAAATATTTAATGTGTTTGTGGGAGTGTACGATATAACCTATATTAAGAATATTATTATTAATATTAAATGATTATTACTGTTAGTTTTTTGTATGATTATTTTTATTTATGAATTTATTTAATTTATTATTTATTGCTCAGTATTTGTTGATGTAATTTATCTTTTTTTTATATTTTTATTTTTTTTTATCAGGACATTTAATTTATTTACCTTTTCTGTATTATTTCATATTTTTCTTTACTGCCATACGTTTTAATTGTTGGATGTTGTTGTATGAATACAAAAACCAATAAAGATATGTTTTAAAAAAAAAAAAAAAACAGTTATTTTGTGTCAGTTTTCCACAGAAAAAAACCTCAGATTCAGATTCCTCCTCTCCAGAAGGCTTACCATTTAGATTTGAATGATCACATGACCTTTCCTGCAGCCCTGCCCTGAGATGACCCTGTCTCCTAGAAATTATGTTTATGTACGATTAAACCTAAATCTAACAGTAAATACATTTGTTAGGAAACATTGACTGTGTTGAGAGTTTGTTCAGAGGCATTGTTCTTTGTTTCTTTTGAATGAATGAAACGTTACATTTATTAACAGCAGCAGTCACCAGGAGGTGGTGGAGATGGAGGGCTGGTGTACTGATGTTTACATCCAGAGTCCCATCTGTGGTTAAGGCCACAAAAGCACTTAGTGAATATTAGTGGTTTTGGTTAAATGTAAATAAACCTTTTGTGTCTTAAACCAGACCAGATCAGAAGAGTCTGAGCAGATCCATAGCATACTTTATTAAAGCTGGAGTCAGTATACAGTAAGTATCAACATATTTTTGACTTGCTAAATACGCAAGTTAACAACATATCTTCATTATGTTAATAAAAGACATAATACAATTTAGTTGAAACATCATAGGAGACATGGCTGCCCTAAGGACAAAGCTTCAGTGGTGTGTTTATTCTCTCCAAAACGTTTATATTGTTCTTGTAAAAAGCTGCAGCCTCTAATGGCAGGATTTTACACTGTCATTGTTTTACTCTATTAATTTAGTAAAAGTTTTTGTTTTCCAAATTTGGTGGAAGTGTAAAGAGATAATCTAAAGATTGAAAGTTTGAAACTTGTAGTTGTAGCTTTCACTAAAACAAAGATCCAGAGAGTAAATGGCCAAGGATCAGCCCTCTGATAGTCACTGACCCTTTAATGTCCTCTACAAGAAAAAGCAATGGAAAAAATTTTCTTTGCGTTTTTTATTTACTTGGGTCAATAATAATATCTCTTTTTTTTTTTTTTTTTTTTTTTTTTTTAACAGACCCCATAGTTATTTAGATATAGACCTCTGCCAAACAGTTCAGACAGAAGTCCCTTCATGGTAAAAGTATAAATACATTTACAAATACCAAAAACTTTTTCAAGAAATTAATTGAACTTGCTCATCTCTGTGGCAGTACAACAGCACACATTTTTTTGGGCTGGTCATGCAACAGCACAAATGTTTTTTGGCCAGTGGTGTAACAGCACTTAAGCCTTTTTGGCCAGTAGATCGACTCTATTTCTTGTCATATGTTGCGAACATTCCTGGTTTGCATATTATATTACATTTGCAAATCATACTGATATATACATTTTTCATCAAATATATAATGAAATAACATTAAATATGTGATATTAATAAAAGTGAATGTTAATAAGTTTTTTTATTTCATGAAAATTGCTAATTTATTATCTTAGCATCACTACCTTTAGTGGCATATATATATATATATATATATACAATGGAATATCATTAAATGTGTCATTTTAACACCAATGAATGATCAACATTTTTTTATTTCATAGTAAATAGTCAATTTTAATTACATTAGCTAGCTTCTCTACCTTTACCATAAAGTGACAGTTCAACTGTTTGGTAAAGAATGTTTTAAAAAATATATATATTTTACCCTTATTAGACTTATTTTTGTTGCATCAAGTTTCATAATTCTGTTCAGTAGGACTATAGAAGCTTACCTTTAAAAATTCAGACAAAAAATTTTACGTTAAGAGTCAATTTTCTCGTTTTCACTTAAAGACACAGTCACATCTAGTGGTTTTTGTTAGCATAACATAACTAAACCGTTCGGAAGAGATGGCTCAATCAGGGTTAGTTAAGTTCAACACATTTTTAAATGAGAAATAGTGACTCAAAATGTGTGGTCTACCAAACGGTTGCGCAGAACATTAAAGGGTTAAGTCTGCTGTGTAACGTATATTGAAGAGTAAAATTAAAGTGTAAACAAAGAATGAACGTTAAATGTGTCACCCTTTTATCTCATCAGTGAAGCTGCAGGGTTTTATTTTATTTATTGAAATTCAGTTGTGTATTCTCTGTTTGTAAAAAGGGTTATTATTGCTGACAGCAAGGTTTGCGGCAGGCGGATCGGCTCACACACACACACACACACACACACACACACACACACACGAACACCTGTCACTGGGAAATAAATCCTTGCATGGACAGACAGATGAAGATAACCATCAGTGGAAAATAATGAAAAGGAAGATCAGTTTCATTCAAATCCTGCAAACCTCAAATTGAAATTATAGCTGGTGGCAGTTTGAATGCATGTGCACACAAGCACACACACACACACACACACACACACACACACACACACACACACACACACACACACACACACACACACACACAGACAAATGCAGATGTCAACTCATGCAAATGCAGATTTTCTTTCACAGGAGAAAAAAAGAACATACAGACATACAGTGTCTACTGTATTACCACCCACACACATGCACCATTCCAGATGCACTAAAACATGAACACATAGGATCTGAGTCTACTCTTTGTCTCTATGTGAACGTTCTTGTTGGATGAATTTGTCAGGATTATTGAGAACGTTTCTCTTTCCTCATGTGGAAACTACATAGGTTACCTTTTGATAAAAACAAAGTGAAGTTGAAATTAGGATAAATATACATTTTTCTTATTGTCAACAAATCCCATTAAAAGAGTAACATCAATCAAGTGATCTAACTAAAAACTGTGACTGTGTATCAAAAGCCTGATATTTCTTATTCCTCTGTATCATAGAGCATCATTGTTAGATTAACCAGAGCTCCAATTGTATATGAATCTAATCAAATGCTCTGTGTCCTTTTGTTTGAGTAATATTTGATGAACAAGAGGAAATGATTAACCTAAACTTCCTGAATTCAAACAAACAAAAAAAAAGAATAAATTCCCTTGCAGAGCCTCACCTGTGAACAGGTACCAGAAGTTGTTGGGTTCAATGGCCTCTTGGTCTCCACGCCGACCGGTCTTCCTGTATTTGATCTTGTAGGCAGTGATGATGCCGTTCTGGGCGCTACGCATAGGCGGCTGCCATGACACCTTGATGCTCTGAAAGATAATTAAGAAAAAATAAGTAAACTAATTAAACTGAAAAACAACATCTGACTGAGGACACTGACTGGGCACAGACAGTAAAAGGCCCACCTCCAAAATGGGAGGAAGACTCTCAGACTTGATAATTTTGTGTCTCCTTGTAGTTGTTCATTGTCTTTGTTTGTTGTTTACTCAGTATCTCTTTTGCCCATCAACATGACATTTGATACACAGACTGTTGACATGTTGAGGGACAGACACTATGAATTTCAGTTTGACAGCCCATGTCATGACTGACTTACTGGATTTGGTATATAGAATTAAAAAGAGAAAAACATTCTGTTTAAACCCTTACCAATTCAAATGTGATGTGTAGGAATGAGAAAAACACACCACTATTAGCTTTATAATGACCACAATGAACACACTCAGGGTTTTGAAATTTAAACTGTTTCAACATTTTAAAAACATGAGAGTTATTAAATGACTCCTAAGAGAACAACTTCAGACTGTGAATTTTGTATCACAAAGACATGACATGAATGCAACATTATGAGTGTGTTTGTGTTAGAGCCAGGAGTGACCGTAAATCTGATCAGCAATCAGCAGTGAAGCCCTTCTGGCTTCTGTGTTTCTATGTTTCTTCAGATGAGTCTGATACTGATCTGGGGTCTGTACCATGAAGTGAGATTAGTGGGTTATCAAGACATCTTTGGGCCTATCTCAGGTTTTCTGGTATCATGAAGCAGGCTCACTTTTAACTGGGGTAGATCACCATGGTAACCTGTGCTGCACGGCTTCCCATCAACAGCCCAACCACTGACGTCATATGTCTCACAAACCTCATTAAATAACAAAATAACAAAGAGTCTTTCATTCCCAGCAGGATCCTGATGATGATGATGATGATGATGATGATGATGATGATGATGATGATGATGATGATGATGATGATGATGAGAAAACTAAAAAACTAAACTAAACTAAATCTGTCATCTTTTATTAGAAAACTAATGCTCACTATTTCAATATTTGTCTTATTCATCTCTGTTTCAACAGCAGAAATCAAATAAGACTAAGTAATGCTAATAATTCCTGCACTTATTTACTTAGCCTTACTTTGATGTTGAATGATGAATATAACTTTCTGCTTTCACTGAAACTGGATTTACCTGCAGGTATCGCCCTTTCATCTTATATGGAGTTCTTTATTCATGGTTCTGATGATGTTTGCTTCTCGTAATGACTCTGCCTCTTCCACGAGGCTGGATAGTTAGGCCAGAATCAACAGAGCCAGTTGAAAACCAGCTTAGTGAAACAGGTTATGCAGGATGGCCCATGTCAAGCTTAGTGAAGCCAAATAACCCCAAGAGAGCCAGACTAAGTTGGACTTGGTCCGTGGTCCAGGCCCCCAGTGTCTGTGTGTCTGTTTTTTATTGAATCATTCTAGTAAAAGCCTGCAGTCATTTGAATTTCACTGTGTGTTTGTGTGTGTAAAGGCGTTTATACGTTGCATATATTTCAATGCATGTGTTTGTGTGTATGTTTGTGTGTGTATGGGATGAATTTTAATTGCTTAATTTGCATGTTAACAACCCACCTCTGACACACACGCACACACACACACACACACACACACACACACACACACACACACACACACACACACACACACACACACACACACACACACACACACACACACACAGCAGATGTTTGCTTGGCCCCCAGTGTGCTCTGCTGTGTGAGGCAGCTGGCCATCAACCATCCTGCTGATATCCTCAGTGTGTATGTGTGTGTGTGTGTGTGTGTGTGTGTGTGTTATGTGGGCATTTATGAATGAAGATTAATGAATTAAGAAATAAAAAAAGGATCTCTGTCATACCAACCTCTCTCTATCTTTCTCTTTTATCACTCGTATCCGTCATAGCTCCGCCTGCTAGTTGTGTAGTGTTAGCAGACTTTCTATAACTAGGCTGCTACTGATAACTATACTAATAATGGTAGAATTTCAAAATGAATTGTACCTAAACTTAATCAGACTTAAACATAATGAGGTCAGACAAGGGTATTTGACAGAATAAGGTGAGTCCACTCCGAGCAGTGGAGTCAGTGAAACAAACTAAATTTTTTTCTAAAATGACTCTAAAAATTTGATCCATGAAGAACCATATCAATGTCATGTGTGCAGCAAGTCAGTGGCTTAGTCAGACAGAGAGAACAAAGGGGGACTCTAAGGTCTCAGTGAGCATGGTGCAATTCTCTTGAAGGCACCTTGTGGAGTGTATTCCACTGATCTATAGGTGGAGGTAACATTCCATGAATCCTGCTATAAAAGGCAAGAAAGAAGAAAGCTAGCAAGCAAACATGGATATAAAGAACACAGGTTCAAATTTGTATAAGAATTGTCTCTGTTCAGGTCACAAGTATAGACTGTAAATAAAGATGGGCATAGCTTCTTCCTCCTCTTTGTCCATATTTGGATTAGCTGGGAGTTAGGGTCAGAGTCAAACACAGTGCCAAGATGGCAATGGCGGAGCAGCTCACTCTGACCTTCAAAACTGCTCTTCAGAAACCTGTGGGTGACATCACATAGGTTTCACTGAGATTCAGGTCAAGACTCGTTACTGGCCAGTTAAAAACAGTTCGTCTTTTCTTTTCAATCTTTTTTTGTGCTGATGTGAGCTTTTCCTGCTGAAGGAAGTGAGTCTTCTGACACTGGGTGTCACAAACTGGCTCAATGAATGTGACAATAAGGGAGATCACACAAGTTATGCTAAAAAAACAAGCAATTTATTATAACTAAAACATAGGACGGATAAGCAATGAGGGATGGAAATCAGCAAGTTTAGTCATGAAAGCGATGCATCTATGAGTGGAAATTGTGCTGTGCTGGTGTTGTATGTGCAAAAGCAAAACAAATGGCTGTCAGCAAATGGAAGGGAGAGGACAAGTGAGCACATGGACCAGCTTTTATATTCTGGAAAAGCCAGGTGCACAGCATCAGCTGGTAACTCTCCCATGCCAACCAACTGCCTGCCAATGTGGGCAAGGACAACCTCCAAGACAATGGGAGGGGCATCACACTGGGTAACACATTTCGCTCTAAAATGCCTTGGTAATCTTCTGATTTCATCCTTTGATATATTCAATGTCTCCAGTACCAGAGGCAGCAAAGCAGTTCCACCGCATGATAGAACCTCCACCATGTTTTACTGTAGGTATGATGTTCTTTTCCTTATGGGTTTAATTTCATTGCCTATAAACAAACTGATGCATGACATTCCCAAAGAGCTCCACTTTGGGTTTCATCTGTCCATAGAACAGTATCCCACAAAGACTATGGCTTATTTTTATTAATTTTTGTTTTCAATGTTTATTTTTGTGGGGACAGCGCACATTAAAAGTAATTGCACTAGAGTTAGCTAGAAGTTAATTTCTGTTGTCCCTGGGCAGGTACACAAAAAATAACCACAAAGTAACAAATACACAAAACAGCACAATACATAGGCTAAATAAAATCAGTATGATACATACAATACAATAATTACAAGGCAACCATTAATGGTGACTGACTTTAGCCAAAGCTTGAGGCTAGTGTTAAACTCAGCAAAGCTTCCTGGGTTTCTGATCTTTGTGAGTATGGAATTCCACTTTCTCAAACTACTTTATTGAATGATTATTGCATTAGATATAAAATAAGTTCACTTTCATTTAAATGAAACACTATCTGATCACAAAGTACCTTTTGTAAACATGAGTATTTCTGTTTTGTGCCTTTCTTTAAATAGTTGTGTCACCTGGGTTCAGTGTGTGGTGTACAGTACAAGCTGAAACAACCTCTGCAGATTCCTCCAGGTCATCCTGAGGCTCTTCAGATGTCTTTAATGTTGCACTGACCTTCACAGACTTCTCTCATTAATGTTTTTATTTGTGTCACATCCTGGAAGTGCCTTAACAGTTTTAAGACTATGAAACTTCTTGATAATGGTTACGAACTGTTGAAACAGGGATTTCGAGATAATTTGGAATTATTATGTTTTTTCATGACAGTATTTCTAATGCGCTCTCATCTTTGCCATTGTGAAAAAGAAACTGGAAACAATCAGCACATTTTTATTATTCATTGGTTAATTCAGGTCACGTGAACACTGGTAATAATTGGAAATAACACAGGCAAGTGTTATTTGTTTTTTATTTTGAGGAACTAATTTCAATTAATCCAGAATAATTGTGCCCACAGAACATTTTCTGTCTGTATTTTTATTTCAGTAAATGAAAACATTTTTTGTTCTCATTGTTGATCAATAACTTTGGACATTTTATAAAAAATATTCAGATGATACAAAATTGGTTCATTCACATTTATTTCTGAAGATATTCTAAATTCTGTATTTACAAATCAAGGCTGGCAATAATTCTGACCTGGAATGTACTAACACACACACACACACACACACACACACACAATTCTCCATCAGCTGTGGTGTAAGTCATCAGGCCAATGAGCAGTTTAAATATTCAGCCAGTGTTACTGTGACGATGGCCGCAGAGGAATTCATTAACATTTAGCTGCACCTGTTCCCTCTGCTGCTCCTCATCCTGCTAATTGATTACAGCAGAACTTATTACTGAGAGGGAGGAGGGGGAAGACGGGGGAAGCAGAAGAATGTAGGGAGAGAAAAAAGAGAAGGGGAAAATTAAATAGATGTGTGTGTCGGCCAAATTCCTCCATACTCTCTCTCTCTCCCTCTCTCTCTCTCGTCGGGTGTCACCATGCACTTCATTACCTAATTAGCCACTTTGATAGGACACAGTTGGATGTGAGGTCTCCATGGAAACAATATAGAGGTTACATTCATGTTGGAACAACTCCCACAGAGCCACAAAGAGGCAAACCATCCATGNTACAAAATTGGTTCATTCACATTTATTTCTGAAGATATTCTAAATTCTGTATTTACAAATCAAGGCTGGCAATAATTCTGACCTGGAATGTACTAACACACACACAC